CTCCTCAACAAGAATGCCACCAAACCAAAAAACAACTCAGCTCCCACAGCCACCACAACTCAGAAAAGGTGCTCACCTTTCACTCGCAAAGATGATTCCCACTCACCCAAGGTGTTTTAGTGAAGAAAAGGAGAAGAAAGGCTACAAGGGAGGTTACACAAAGGTGGAGAAGGCCAAGACAGCAGCCACCAGCTCCAAACTCACGTAGAGAATGTAATATGGCCTAGGGTTTAGTGCCCACTAAGACTTATATAGTGGTTTAACAATTAAACACACAATATTAACTTTAATTGCTACGCTTAGCATTTTAATCCCAAACTTTGGAATCTGAAACTGCACATTTTTCCAAGAGTTAATATATTTTTCTTATAATTTTCTGAGTACTTTTCCGGTACGCGCTTTTCCAAGCCAGTACCGGTTTCTAGCACCAGTTCTCATTATCTGGACTTGAAACTCGTTTTACAAGTCCTACATATTATTCTAGTAATTGTCATGCACTTATTATAATTTTACGGGATACTTTTTCGGCACGCATTTATACCGACTAGCAGAACCGGTATCTGCACTTTTCTTCCGAAAAGCGACTTTCAGCATTATTACTCGCTTACTATAATTATTAAAGCCTCATAATAATTATTAGGGTCAATTATGAAATCATTTCCTATTTTCTCATAATTTATTAATTAAATTCCTTAATTAACGGTGCTGGTTCTTACACAGTGACCCTCTTTAACCCCTATGACCCAGGAGTTACTGAAATTCGGCTGGATTTTGGAGGTCGGAGGAGTCGATGTGCATATAAAGTCCAACTTGTAATCTCAACTCTCAAAGAGGAGGGATCAAGATTAATCCGGGTCAACTCAAGGAACAGGATGAGGTTTTAAAACACTGATTCAATCACGTTTCATTTTTACGCTAACTAGCTAGGTGCATACTTTTTTTATCATTTATAATTTTTTTTTTTTGTGGTGTGGTCATTTATAATTCTCTACTAGTAATTATGAAAGAAACATTGAAGCTACCGTTGGAAAAAGAGGAGAGAGAGAGAGAGCTAGTCAGCTTCATGATCATGATTTACGAGCCCACCTTGTGACATTTACTCTCTGCCTTTGGCTAATTCTCGTGGTGTGCAATTATTCAAACGGGTGGGAAGCTTTCTTGTAATTTCTTTGTTTCTCTATTTTTTTTAAAAGAAAAATGTTTTCGCAGTTAATGCAAAGAAGTTATCTGCATTTATTTTTAAAATGACGTCGTTTTGGTATTAAAATCTTAAAAAATTATAAATATAAAGACTATTATAACCCTAAAATAAATTAAAATTACAAAAACACCATGATTTCCGTCCCAAAACGACATCGTATTGACTTACTGCAGATAACTTATCTGCAGTAACTGCAGAAAAAACGAACCTTTTTTTTTAATTAAACATAATCTTAATTATTTTTTTGAGATAAGTTGGCTTTTTCGATATTCTCACAAATTTTGATTCTTTGAGCCAGTTATAAGAGTAATCGAGAGTGCTGGGTAGATTAGGGATAAAGATATTTAAGTTCCTTCAAAAAGTGACATGTGAAAATTGAAATGAGATCCAATTTCTTTCCACTTACTCAGCTCCCTTGCTACCAATATTTGGTTTGGTTTCTCTACTTATTCTCTCTGAAAAAAAATAAAAAATACAGGCAAGATTTTATATTCAAATTTTTGCATAATTTTTATTTGGGATAATTTATATTTACAAATTTTTTATTTACAAATTCTTACAAATATGCTCAAATAGTATGTACTATTCTTAGTACATAGTTTAGTTTATAAATAAAAAAAATTATAAATATAACTGTATTCTTTTTATTTAAATATCTTGGAAATAACTTGAAAAATTTGAAACTATAAATATAAATATGAATTATATTAAGTATTATGTACCTATATTTTTTTTTTCTCTCAACTTTCTTATTTTGCTTCATAATTTTCTCTTTCTCTCGCCTCTTTAATTTTATTCGCACAATGCCGGGCGGTATACCATAGAGTCCTTGGTGTTGGTGACGGGTAGTTGGATCCAAAATGGATGATAAAGAAAGGTTTCTTTTCTCGAAAGTTTTTGTAGTATTAATAATGCCAATTCAAAATACTTAGGCATCACAATCCAAGGGTGTGCTTGGTACATGAAAAATATTTTGGTGACCGGGAATCATGATTAATGGGAATTCAGTAGAAATTGAGTTTACTTGTAATCTTACGAAAGATGTGTTTGGTTCGCCAAAATATTACCGGGAATACTGGGTAAAAATTACTGATTCCATATTTGGTTTAGAACGAAATATGACTTGGAATATGAGGTTATTTTACAAAAATAACCCCAAACTATTTTTACTTTTGTAATTGATAGATTGGGTCTAGATTTTTATGTGTATTGGAGTATTTTTGTCTCAAAATTTATTGTTGTGCTTTCCCTTTACTTGGTATTCTGATTGGTATTCCGAATTACTATATTATTTTTGGTAATCTGAATAGTGACTTTTCTTTATAAATCAAATTATCGGTAATCCTTGGATATTCGGGAATCGTAATTTATTCCTTCTACCAAACGTGGTAATTACATTTACCAAAGAAAGATTACCGGTAATCCTCTCCAAAAACTTGAACCAAACACCCCCAAGTGCCAAAAGTTTCTTGTGAAATCAACCATAGCATTAAAATTGGTCAACCAAAGGTAAAGGTATAAAGATTTCATTATCCTTGTATTTATTTTGTTTGTTCATTTGAGTTGAGGGAGGCGACAATAATTTTCTATTTTGTAGCCCGAATTGTCTCTCCAGAGACTTTTTTTATTCAAGGATTGATGAAACATATATTAGTGATTACAATTCTCTCGTAGAATATCATGTTAAATAACATATAACTCATTTTCAAACAAGATAGACAACCACATTAGTTATGCTTTACTGCAAGGATTTGGGCTAATTAAAATATTTTTAATTAATGAATTGAAGTTGTTCGCTTTAAGATCAATTTATATGTTTGTACAATTGTCAGGTTGAAAGTTGAAACTCCCATGAATTTGAAACTCAACAATAAATATGATGATTCCTATATTCCATTTAATAATTTATTGTTGATGCATGTCGTGAATATTTTAAGTCCATGTATTCATCACGCTAATCACATCTTGATGTGAAGTTGCCAATATTTTAATTCAATCAAAAAATTTAAGTTATGAGGGAAAGACAGATGAATAAACTTTTTGTATTCTATAAAAAAGAAAAATAATTTTTTATATTTTATATCATATTTTCGCAAACTCCTCTAAGACATCATACACGTGCAGTTGTTGAAGCCTTAAAAACAAACATGAGATAATGCGCGGATAAGAGGTGGGTCAGGGCAAGGGTATATGTTATATTTCTAATAATAATATCCATTATGTTTACTTGGTTTTTAGAATCCATCAACATGCATGACTAAATTTGTGCAAAAATAAAAAGATTTAGGAAGATGAGGAATCACCCTAACTGCTACAGGTTCAGTTTAGTAGGCTTTCCATTATTCCATTGATTGAATTAAACTCTACGTGTTACTGTCGTAATAATAAAAACAATCTTAGATTATCTGCTGTAGGTATTATTTAGTTTTCTTTTCCATGTAGTGAAATAAGTGCCTACACTTGATGTCAAAAATAAATAAATAAACAAAAACCTACTCTGGTAATTTTTTTGTACTATTTTTTTCCCCCAACTTTTATTATGTAATATCATTAGCAATTTTTGTATTTTTATTTTTATATTTTTTGGTCTCCAGCAATTACTGATTGATACCTCACAATATTAGAGTGCGTGGCTAAAAACATTGTTAAAGCCCATAAGCCCAAGTAGAAATTATGGCTTTGTCGCTTGCTCAAAAACTGTAAAGCCCAAAACTCCATGTATGTTAAGGGAAAATTAAATTAGGTAGAAACACGGGAAATATCCAACCAAAGAAAAAGAGAGAAAAAAAAAAAAAGTTGAACAAGGAAAAACGAAATGTTATTACTAAAGTGCGTTTGTTTTAAAGGTTTATGGAATTATTTTTAGAAAGTAAATTTGGGAATATAATCCATTCTTTGAAAATGTGATTATATACTTTAAAACAAGGAAAATAGTAATCTCATGTTATAGGAGACTACTATCTTATGTCATAGACACTTTGATAATTGTACTGTCATTTTCTCTCTCTCTCTCTCTCTCTCTCTGTCTCTCTCTCTTTTTTTAGTAGTGTATCCCACCACTTTGTGTCTTAGCATAAGATATGCTCTCTTCTACAACATGAAAGTAGAGAAGCCCTTAAAACAAATGACTCTTAAAAAGGTTTTTTTTTTCCATGTAGACAATGTTGAGTGTGAAAATTTCTTTAGTGTGTAGTTAAATTATTTTGTTATATATATATATATAGGGGACACTTTTTCTGCAGCGGCTGCACAGAGTTGCTATCTGCCGCTGACACAGAAAAGTGGGTCCTACAGCTTTTCTTAAAAAAAAAGGATACGGACCCGTATTCTAGAATCCGAAACCGTATCCTGACATGTTGTACGTGCAGCGGCTGCAGAAATGATTTTGTCATATATATATATATATATATATCGTAGCATAAATTTATAATTTCAGCCAATAATTTTTTCCTTGTGTTAATTTAAACATTCATTTATTGCTCCAATTATATATGTTCGTGTATATTCTGTAGCTAGGAATAATTTACGTTATAACGGATAGAATGCATGGTTAGAAACCATCAATTGAAAAAGAAATATTTTTATTAACTATAAATTAGAATAAATTTACATAAAAATCAATGTAACTAAAAAGACAATTCTTAACATTCATTGTGTTCAACCTCGAAGGCATATATATCCTTGAAACTAAACCAGTATAACAACCTACGCCAAAAAACTATGAAAAGGGTAAGGTTCATGTCATAGAAGAATAAGATAATGATTAAACATCGACAAAAGAATTCATGACTGTATATAGCTACGGTAAAGAAGGGAACAGAACAATTTCTTGCTCGCACCTTTTACACAGAAAAATATGAGGAATTTCTTCATCATTAGGAATGCGAACACACCTAGTGTGCTGCAAAATTTCACAAATATCACAAGATACCATCCTCTCACCATCATCTTCTTTAGTTCCACAAGTGCAGTCTACGATGCCATTGTTTGGATCACTTTCACATATTTGATCAATCGTGTTTATTCTCATGTCACCATGCCAACCCTCAAGAAGAACCTTTCCACCCACTTCAATTAGCCCAAAAACCATTTCTGTCCCATTGGCATTCAAATTCCCAGTTGATTCCACAACAAAACTCCTTAAACCCCAATAGATTTCTCTGAAATTCCTTTCAACTTCTACCTTTAGCTCATTGATTGTAGCACTGCTTTTCAATGTGATACATTCATAGGGTGGCATAGCCTTGCTTAAATTTTCATCAAGTCCTGCATTGTTCCTCAACAAAATTGTACAATAAAGGTTGAGTTTTCCTTCTGAGCCTAATTCAACATGGAAAGGAACATCTCCAAAGTAATCTTTGATAAGATACTTGGTGTCAAGAATTATCCTAGCAGCCAATGGTATAGCTGAGAGAAACTCTGATCCTATCATTGGTTTTGAGTCAACGAGAATATACTTGTACAAATAAAGCATATCCTTCATGAGTTGAGCCCTTGTAATCTTGCACTTGTCCTTCACTTTATTACTCATGACCAAGCCTTCATTACATGGATACACATTGGAAATGTCTTCTAAGCAATATTCCAATACTTTAGTCACAGGATTCAAGCTTCTACGTACCAAGTAGTTCCCTACAATGTGGTTTCCTAGAGACTTGAGCACAAAATCAAGTAAACCTGTGTCACCAATGTATGCACGAGCAGCATCTCTAACTTCTTGCCTTGAAATCCATCTGAACTCTGTTCTTTTCAAGGCCTCAACAATGACCCTTGTTGCCATCTCAATCCTTTTAGGTGACCAACGACAATTGGTTTCAACCAAGGCATTATTGGTGTTATAGGAACCAATGCAGGTTTCACGGGGAAGGCGTGCTTTGAGTTCTAACATGTAACGAAATAAGTCACCAAGGGTCACTAAAGATTGATCTGAAAGTGTTTGATACCTTGAGAAGATGAGTGGAATGTCATGGTTTGAATTGCCAATATGGTGTGTGAGTAAGTATAGTGGCATGCTTCTTATTGCCTCTATGGCCTTGTGGTACATGGATTGTGTTACACCAAAGCATCCTCGACCAAATTTGTAACCCCAACGACCGAACCATGGCTCACTGTATGCTATTCCATTGACTAGTCTCAGTTCCATGCCTCTTTTCTGTGAAATGTCATTCAAACTCACTTTCCTATCACGTAAAGTGCAAATTAATTAATCAGTCTTTTTTTTTAATTGTAGAGTTATGGGATCTTTGCATGTAATTTTTTATTTTTTTGGTCCAGAGAGTTTCACAATTCTTATAGTTAGGACCTAAAAGTATAGGTTGTGCTCGAAATTCAATTAGTAGGTAAAAAATATGGAGAATCACTGTCGTATCGAGTATCGGGTACGACAGGAGTTCAAAATGAAATTACAAATTATGTATTATGTATTATAACATTGAAGTTGTTTTTTTTTTTTCTCTCTTTAGAAAATATGTTAGTTGATGTGTTATGCTCTCATGGGTGGAATGTAGTAGTATATTAGATTTTTTCAAAATAATGATGTATGGTATTGTAAAGAACGCAAGCTGTAAAGAGTGAAAGTCATGGCCCATCTTGGTGTATTAATTTGGTCAAAAAAACAAATCATGAGACTCAGCTGAACAAAAACAACACCAAGAGAGAGCTAGAGAACTCATGAAGGACAATAAAATTAAAGTGAATGTGAATTTGGCCCTTTTTTGTCAGGAAAAATTGATGTGAATTAAAACTGTGAAAGGGAAAGTGAAAATTTGAAGAATAAAAAGGAAGACAAAGAGAAACACATCAATAAAGTGAATTGGGTTGCTACTATAAAACTTCTGATAATTTAATTACTAAGAAAAAATAAATAATAGTGGGTTTAAACACTAGTAAATGAGTCGCAATATTTAAACCCAAATAATATAGATGTTCTGGAAATCTTTAAAAAGAGCCCATATAAATGTTATATTTTGGGGGTTCATTAATGTTCCCCCTCTCATCTCTAAAGAGAGAGAGAGAGAGAGAGAGATGATAAAAAGAAAGATATGCTGAAACAATTAATTAGTAAATTCGGATTACGGAACATTTGGCATGAGCTAGTTAGGTTGATTAATATGCTTCATATTTATGCATGGTGAAATTTTCTATTATTTAAAATATTTAGTAGTATATATGTCAAGCAACTGCTACATATAATATTGAAATGTTTAACACAGTACGTGATTAGTTTTTGATATTTTGTTAAAATAGTTGTAGTTTGACTATACTAGTTTTTTTTGTTTTTAAGAAAAAAGAAAAGAAAATATGAAAGAGTGTGGGAATTGGACTAACCTAGCTTGCAATCCATTGCACAAACGATTCCAAAACTCCATGATGTGGTTGCCAGCCAAATTCGATCCAGTTTCCAACCCATTGACACATAGCAAATGCCCGAATCCATTAGAGTGAAAAACACCATGCATCATATGGCCCTGTAATTCTATTAATTTGGACTTACCATTATTCAATGTAGCAATTGTGTCACAGCAGCCTTCACAGCTTGAGCAGGTAGCCAGTGCCTCCTTTGAGGGTAACAGGAAGTGATACTTCTTATTGCAAATGAAATGGTTACCCCAGCCTGTACTAAATTGAAATCCCAGTGAAATTGATGTAAGATAATAAAGGTGAACAAAACATGTTAAGATATATATATATATATATATATCATTATCATGTGACTCACTTGGTTCATTATTGTTTCTAACCATGAACTAATGAATGCTATTATATAATTACAATTCCACACCAAAAATTAACATTACCAACGTATTGACAATGCTTGCAATGACGGTTCAGCGCTGCCTCCATTGGCTCTTCAATCACAAACAATAAGATATGTAAAGGTGGGTGGTGATGAACTTCAAGTTGAAATGTCCATACTGGCATTCCTATGCTTAAATCACTCTCCAAATTTGCATATTCAAGTAATGCATTCACATTATCACGAAATGGCCCACTAAACATAACAGGGTATCCTGGTTCACCAAAGTTCTTGAACCTGAAAACCCTCCCACATCTCTTCCTTTTCTTGTTGCCAATTACATCAACATTCAACATGGCCTACACTTTTATGCTGAAGGGATAAGCTTATAACTAGTGGGGAAGGGGGTGTTGTTTCTAGAATTTCAAGCATGTTGAAACAAAGGAAACTCTTATATATAAACACTGTTATACTCATTCTCACACACTTAGTGCCTCGAAATAAAATTGGACGTGGTAAGAAAGAGTTGCACTGACTTGTGTAGCTTCTATTTGCATGATCTGTTTCAAAAATGGATTTCTTTGAAAATTTATCGCACTAACCTACGAAATGGTTGGTGTTTTAAAGTAATCTATAGGTACCATGCAATTATAGCCTTCACGTTTCCTACAAATTCTATGGTCAACCTGCAGGAGTAGTTGGTTCCTATCTTGTAGGCCTAGAAGCAAATGCAACATTTCTTGTCTAACTACCGTTAGGAACATATTTTGTTAATTCGAACTTGCATTTCATGCATAGGAACTTACTATGGCTTTCATGCTAAAAACTATTAAAATTAATAATAGTGTAATTAAAAGTGATCAATTGCTATTATATGGTATTTGTGGCACAAGCGTTTCGTCAAGCCCATTTCAAACTTATTTTTCTTTTCCTATACTTCATATATCTTACTATTTCTTTAATATTCTAACATTTTTTTTTTCAGAATAAATAAGGAAAATAAAATTTTCTGATGACATATTTTTATGGGGAAAAGCTAACGAAGATGAGAAATTTTTAGGTGGAATAGATCCACTACTACCTGTACAACTCTCGAGTCTCGAGTATGGTATCTGGCAGGGATTTCTAGGATGCCACGTATGGTAGCACACTTTTTAACTGCGATTAATAACCATACAGTAGATTTGGTCCATCATCAAATTCTGAACGCTTAGATGTTTCATGTATTTCGGTTGCTTATATATTAGATGCATTTACAGTTAAGAGCTTCCTATGGCATTTCGAGTGCCTAGATATGTTTAAAACCTTTATTTTATTTTATTTTAACTTAAAATATATTTAAATTTGAATCTGTAAAACTATCATCTTAATTTTGTTTATAAAATTAAACATGACTATATTTATGTAAATTACATACCGTGCAATTTATAATTTTTTAATAACATATAACAACTTAATAACACTAAAAATTGTATGGCTTTTTAGTAACAATAATGTAATTTTGTACTTCCGGGTTGTGGGACTTTGTACATAAGATGAACAGGATGAGAGACAGTGGATCTTCCTGTTTTTGCCTATCATCAGGACCTCTAGTTTTAAGGACGGGCATAGTAATGCATTGTGATATTAAATGGATACATAGGGAAGAAATACCAAAGCATATTATATTTTATAGCAATAAGAAGGGATGTCAACAGTTCGATCAGTAACGTTATCCATATCCACTTCCATCGCCGTTACCCACAAGTTCTCTTTCATTTTCTTTACTTCATAGAATCAAAGACTTCATGGGCTACGGTACAGTTTACTGATATGTGCCATCCTTGCTGGCTAAGATGTAAAAATAATTTTTAAAGATGCAAATTGTAAATAACATTGAATAAAAAATACAGGCGTAGATTAGTTAACAGTATGAAGCTTGCAATTTTCGGGATTCACTGAAATTTAGAGGGATAATCGAAGGGTTAATATTTGAAGATAAGAAAAATATTAGGTGCAGTACATTGTGGAGATTGCTCCTCATAACTACCACAGTTAACCATTATGTCCGTCAACGATCCCCGAGTCAAGTTCGAATCACCTAGAATCAACTCTCGCTTAAACAATAATTCTTTTAGTAAACAGTATCAATAATTTTCTAACGTGTACTGTTATGCAGTGCCAGCAATTCCAGATTATTACGTTCGAACTTACGTGGAAGATTGTTTGTTTTTGGCCCATTACAGAATGTAACATAACGTGTATATTCATCACATGTGACATTATACTGGTTGGTAACACCATAAACTAATGAGATATATAGCATATTTAATCCAACAATTATTGGATTTTGAACCCAAGTCCAATAAACGCATGCTGCACTTGTAATTTAATCTATGCCTAGGATAATCACATTAAAGGTTGGCTTCAACTGACCTCAATTTATATTTAGCCTCTAAATAAGTGAATTCCAAAGTCTCCGTAATCAGATTCTGCAAGAATAGCTATCCAGGCAGGGAATGAAGAAACGAATGGCAATTGGAAACATATCAATTCAGTAATTTTTTATACCGAGTTTGGTACAAATACCACACGATAAGGTATTTTCTGTTGAAGGATGCAGCATCCAGTTCCCCCATGACAATTCCCTAATCTGACCTGCTCCACTTCTTGCCCTACTGTTATCAGTAACCAGTAAAGGGAGCGGCATGCACTCTGTTCCTGGATTCCAATAAAACACAAAATGAAACGCACCACTCTAAACTAGTTTCTCAGCAAGAATAACTCCGCATGCTGCATCCAAATCCAATGATGTACAATCTCAGCCCCACTAGCATGGCCTTCATAATATGACGTGGCCATCAAGTGAGGAAGTATAAATATTTTCGTCATAATCACAACAATGCCTCCACGTATACATACCAAGAATCTGGATCTGGTCTACTATCAAGAATTATCTACCAACTCGCGTGATTATATATCGTCCTTTTTCTAGATCATAAATTGTCTTCAACTGAGGTTTCCTCCACCTAGATATAGACCATGCTGTAAACAACAATACTAAAAAAATTACAATGAGCGAGAGAAGAGTAGGCGATTCAACACTGAAAAAGGCAGCAATCCAGTCATGCATCTGTATATCTGCATCAGATGTGGTTTGCAGTATAAAAGCTCCCAAAGCCCAATCAAGCGGAATACTTCCCACCTGATTAGCAACCTTGACCCTGGTCAACAGTAAATCCAGTCAATAAGATTCAACCAATAGGGACACAGAAATGCATTGACATAATAAAGAAATCAAAAAGAATATACGCAGTGCCAACCACAAATAGACAAGAGCAAGTACTAGCACTTTAAATGTTTAACTTGGGCTGTAATATATTGCCTATCGTTGCCAATATTGAGTATTATGGTCTTTGATTTTGTGTGAATGGTTTCTCTGTGTAGTAGGAGATTTAGCTGCAATTGCTGATTGTTTGATTCCATTTCCCTTTTCAGAATACTATGCCATTGCAAAAGCACACAAACATGAACCCAGAAAATATAGTTAACACCACCCCTCTGCTATCAACAACCAAGCCTCAACCAAAATCACCACTTTGACCACTCCAAACATACAAAAACACCATCATCAGAAAACCACTACCAGATTCAATCACCATTACCAATTCTTCCATGTGCAAATCTCCAAACAGCTCCAACTTCCATCAAGCCAAAAAGTCTGTGCACTCACGGCAGTGGCACTAATACTCATGTTCAAGGCCAACAATTCATCAAGATGCAAACCCACAGCATCTCGCAAAGCCCTGGAATCAAACAGCCTTCCTCCAATCAACAAAGCACCCATCACTAAGCAACCTCAATCATGCCATAACCCACTTGCAAACCATCCACAGAAACAAGCACATCTTAAGCTCCAGTGTTGCAAGCAAGAAGACAGTGCCCCATCCCTACCGTGCAACAGCCATGCACTTCTCTTCCCTGCAAACCGAATCCAGCTGCACCAGCTACTGCCTTGATCCCTCATCCGTTCAAAACCTTACTTTCTAATAAGTATTCTTGTTGAATCACTTTATTTTTTCCCCATTTTCCTCAATGGTTGGGTTTCCATGGAGAGAAGAGAATATGTAGAGGGTTTAATTGGAGATTCAAGAAAGTGGTTTCTACAAAGGGTAATTAAGGGTTTCAAAATATTTTACAGACTGCAGATAATTTAAGGGAGGCCAGTGGAGGGGTGAAAACAAGAAGAGTATCATGTGTATGTTAACAAACCTAGGGAAGTCATTGTAATTTGCCCTAAAATATTTGTTTCATAGAGTGGGACTAAATGTTCATTGTGAATACTATTATCAGTCTCTTATGTAATAAAAAATTGTAAAAGAAAAATAAGCAGGAATACCTTTCATCATCCAAAGCAATTCCAAGACTGTCATGAAGCAGAGCAACAATGTATGCTGAAGAGAAGCAATACCGAAGTAGATCTTCCTCTTCATGGGAGGGGTATTTTTTCTTCAGCCTTAACCAATCCTCACCACAGAATTCTTGCCCAGCAGTCATCAAATTTGACAGATAAGCCCTTGGCTCCAATCTAAAAAACTAACAGCACCAAAGAATCAAGAATCAGTGTGAGAATAATGTATCAATTATCAAAATAGCAAAAGTATAACTGAGCTTGCTGCATGTCAACTGTCCGAGAAATAATACAATTACAGTACATTACTGTTATCTCCAATGCATCCATTTTAGACAACAGAAATGCATAATTATACTAGACAACTAAAAGAAGCATAGCATATTAACTATCAAGCATAAAAGAACCTTTGATGTGTAAAAGAAGTTTTCTGTAGCCAAGAATTTCCCCTGAAGCTTAGGTATGAAAGTTGATCCTATGTCACAATGCTGATTAGAACATGATTCTGCATAAATCATGAAATCAAAAATGAAATAACCAACTTCAATACAAAAACAACAATGAAGAAAATCTCGTTTTAAAGGGAATCTAACAATACTTTGTCAAAGAAAATATGACCTTTCCCATTTTGTAGCAGCATCAATGCTGCAGATCTGCACTCTGAAAAGTTTCCCTTTGTTTGGACAGTGAACTGATATTGGCTTTTTTCATTCAGTGAGCTAAGAGAGAATTTCAACGACTCAACATTATGAGAGTACCCTGTAGGAGTACAAGGATCTATGCGCAAACCCTCCTGAAGCGATTGAGAAGCTGCACTGAGGCGAATAAATAATCAATAACAAACACTTTTACCATCTGAAGAGATTATATGCAATTCTGCTGCAGGTCTGCAAATAGTTGTTAAACGAGAGACAAAGAGACAGAATGCATAATCCTGGTGAAAATTTTGATTAAAAAAATCACACATGGGACATGGCACAGTTAAAGGAGCACATAAATAAAGCCATCAAGTTTTACTATCTTCTTCATTATAGACAAAGAGTCTTTCATCTACAGGAATTGAATTGCAAAATCATGGTGAGGAGAAAAGAGGCCAGCATGAACTTAAAATTGGCACTATGTACTGCATTATAATTTAAAGGACAGTTCCCTAGTACCACCTTTGAGAGGGGTTTAAAGCCTTGATCCTGGACCCGCCTCAAATCGGACTAGTCGCGAAGCGATGAACCAGTGGAATATTTCAAAAAAAAAAAGGACAGAGTTCTACAAGAGCAAATAACAATTATTCAACCCTACAAACTTTGAAAATTCACCACATCTGATGCATAAGAAAATTCATGTCTGAATGCTTTAATAATACTTAATCCCGGATAACCTTGATGCTTAATATACGTTAACTTCAGTTGTACAGCAAACCAAGATATTGTAAATAATTTAAAGATCAAACCAGTTGCACAGAACAAGTTTCTGGAAGATGTAAATAGCTGTGTAATAATGTTAATATATTTTGTTACATATCTTTTTTAATATAAAGAAAGTTACTTTCAGTATAAATGACTTAGAAGAACTTAATGCATCAAAACTACATAAAATCACAGCCATAATTTTCAAGTATAATATAGCATGGTAATTAAGTTCAAAGATCTCTCTAATTAACTGTAGACATAGAAATTAGTCAAATGATGCTGTATGGGTAATTACCTAAGTTCAAATCTCCTGATATAAGTGCTTCTTTCCATGAGTCATGAGCAGCATTCTACAAAATGAACAACGATCAGAATAGTATCGAACACCATGGTATCATTCTAAGACTAGAACACATGATCAACCATATGACTCTCAATGAGAATCACATTGAATTAAAAGAGATCAATCAGAACCATTAAACTTTTGACATGGGGGGGAAAGTAAAGCAAAAAAATTGTGACGACTACCATTCCCACTAAAATTTAGCATATGGTTGTAAGTTGTAACAGAATCAAAACATATTTATCATTCATTTTTAACTTTTCTTTTGCCAGTGGAACATAATTTGTGAAACTGTGATTTAGCATGCACAACATCAGAAGATATACACTTGCTAATGAGCCAAAAGAACACAGCAAAGAGAAATAACAATTACCTGGCCAAAATGAAGAAAGCTGTGGCTGTAAAGGTTGTAAGTGGTATTCCCAAATTTAACAGCACGTGAGAACAAAGGAAGCACCGATTCTCTTGATATGAAGGTCACCTAAAATAAAAGTATAAATCCATTCGTCATGCTTCCAAACAGTATGAATATAGCCAGAAAAGCAGACCTTTCTCTAACATATTGGCTGTATTAATTAAGACTCATTATTCCTTAATCAATTGCAGTCAAATCATATCCAATTTTATAGCATAAATTTTTTTGGATCTAACAATTAAATTTAGAACAAGCAGTACTCAGGGAAAATGAAGTTGTACCTGAGCAGAAGCACCGCCAAGTTCAATAATCCCAGTTGTATCCAAAGGATCACCTCCAAGAGTGCCAAGTGCATAATTAGCAACAACCCAGGCATACACTCCTTCATCAGAACCTGTACAACCACAGTATAAACAATGGCATGAGAATTGAAAAAGCCAATAATCATAGACATTATGATGGTTTTTAAAATTACTAACAATTATCAAATTATTAAAAAATTAAGGAGAAGGAGAAAACAAAAGAAGCATCATGTTTGCATTATGATGATGCTGACACCAAGAACATTGGCATGATAGCAAGCCAAACTGGGATTGAAAAAGCAAAAGAGTGAAAGAGATTGACAAGACAATTGGGTTCACTATATTGTAAATCCTTGAGGCATCTACAAGCATTCTCTTTCACCACTCAATCTTATGCAATATCTTTCCTTCAATCGTTTTGTCAACAACATAAACATCAACATTGCCTTTATTCCAACCTAGTTGGGGTCTGCCATCAATGAACCCATAGAAAAGCATCAATCATTTTGACAAAAAAATAAAAATATTCCCTATCACCATTCTCCCTCTTGCCATTCAAATTCTGTTATCTAAAAAAGATCAAATAAATGTCCTCGTCGTACTTCTATCCTCGCAACCAACATTATTGATATATCATATGATACACTTTTTAGGTGATATTGACTCTTGAGATTCCATCATGAATGCCAAGGGGAGTCACGTAAAGCTACAACATCAAAACAACCGTCGCGCTAAAGCTGTTAGAAATAGAATTTCAAACCCCTAAATATCTAGAACCTGCATGCCCAATCCATCACCAGAACTCCCTTTGTACTAAGAAAGAGGAAAAACAAGAATGCACCAAGGAGCTTAAAAAAAGCACCAAATAAAAATCTTGTCGCAAGCATGAGAATCCAGCTTCAAGTCAAGCAACTTAAAACAAGCGCCATCTCATGGACACTAACAAAACAGTTATTCTGTCAATAAAGCCCCATGTTTTAAGTTTTGTGACCATCTCATTCATCTAACATTCTAATCAAGAACCCAACACCAGTTCAACTCCAACAAAAAACAGCAAATTATGCTACTCTTATTACTCTATTTGCGATAAGTCTCTTCCTACGAAGAAATCGACAAATTTAATTCACAAGTGCATATTCTTACTCACAAAAAACTCCATCATCCATTAAAAATCACAAAAAAGAAAGAAAGAAGAGAGAACCTGTGATGACAGAAGCCCACTCGTCCCTAAATTTGAACCCAGAGGAACGCAGAACTCTCCTACACGATTCTAGAATCTTCTCCTGCACCTCCGCATCCAGCATCCTCAACCCAGCCGTTGCCATGAGCCGAATCTCCGTGTCCCTCCAACTCCCCCTCGGGATCCGACCCTTCCCGAACTCCACCAGCTCCGAAAGGGACATACCCGCCCCATCCGGATCCTCCGCGAACGAGGAAAGACCCGGGTTCACCCTCATCGACGCCAACCCCTCCTTCCCGAAGTCAAACACCTTATCATCTACCCCGTACTTGAAGACGTGGATTCTAGTCCCGGTGCTGCCGCCGTCGACGATGATCCGGTACCTGAAGCCGTTCCCGGAGGAGGAAGAGGAGGAGAAGAAGGCGTAGTAGGAGAGGAAGAGGAGGAGAGAGAAGAAGAGTGGAGCGAGGAAGGTGTTTGAGAATTGGCAGCACCTGGCGGCGTTGTTGGTGGCGGTGGCCTTAGAGTTGCGAGCGAAGAGGTTGTTGGAGCGCATTTGGAGCTTCATCATCGGATCCATTTGGTTAGGTTTCGAACCGACCCGAGTTCGAGCATTCGATCGTCGCATCAACGTTCTAGGGGTTCCGGGAGGTGCAAAATCATGTCAACAGATGATGATTCGCCGGAGCTGGTCGCCGGCGGCGATCGGAGAAGGCAGCGAATATTTTGCTCTCTCTCTTGGCGCGCAGAGAGAGAGAGAAGAATTGATGAAGAGAGAGAAAGAAAACGTGATTGTGTAAATTTAACGCGTTGGTTTGGGTCAATTCATTTCCACACCGATTCCGCAGATTCGATTCGGTTTGATCAGAGCCTGAGCTTCGGAAGTCGCTTCCGTTTCTTTCTCTCCCTTTAATTTCAGACAACTAGACTACAGGTGGTAATATGTGATAATATGGGTTGAATCCGATGGTTGAACCAGTCAAAACTAGGGCTGACAATACGAGCCAGCCCGCCCCGGCCCGTCATTGGCCCGCCCAAAAATAGGCTGGCCTGTCCCGGCCCATTTTGACAAAATGGGTTGAATTGAGCAACCGGACCCGTTTTATGAGGGGGTTGCGGGCTATGGGTCTGCCCGCCTAAAATAAAAAAATAATAAAGATACAAAAAAATACAAAAATTAAATTCTGCATAAAAACACATAAAAAATTTTGCATAAAATTCTAATGTGCTTATGAAACCAAGAAGACCAGTGTTTAATAATCTACATATAAATATGCATCTTTCAATCCAAAAATAATAATAAAAAATAAAATCATATCAAGGTAAAATAGAGTAACAAAACAAGTAACAAAGTGTTGTATCCACAACAATTCGAAAAAGCCACTTGCATGCAGAGAAATCTAAGGCAGGAGCTATATAACAATTGGATAAATTAAAAAAAACGGGCTTGGCGGGCTAGCCCTCCCCGTGGCGGGCCGAGCCCGGCGGGCTAGCCCTCCCCGTGGCGGGCCGAGCCCGGCGGGCTAGCGGGTTTGGCGGGCTGGTGGGTTGAAAAACTCAACCCAGCTCGCCCTGTTTGGTGGGCGGGGTGGGCCAGCCCGGTGGGCTCAGCCCATTTTGCCGGCCCTAGTCAAAACAAAGCGAATTGTGTTACATATTTCAATCTACCAACCCGCTCTGTTGGGTTGTGGGTCAAAATGGGTTGGCTGCAGGTTGGGATGAGTTGGTCCGTCGAGTCAATTTTTGTTACTATTAGGTAGTACTTTATTTGTCTTTAAACTTTTGTGATATCCAATTTTTTGTTATCTTAGTACTCTCTGGAAAAAATAAAGAAGAAAAACTTTTTTTATGACAAAGGTAATCTATATATGGAGATAAAGATAAGTTTGTAAAGAATATATGACTGAATATTACCATACATTTAGGCTTAAGATTGGGGAAATACTAAGGGGGTGTATTGGATTGAGATTTCAAAGGATTTTAATGGATTAATTTTGGACAAAAAAATCCGTTGATATTCGATTAGGATTTTAATGGATTGAAAAAAAATCACGTGGTATTCGATTAGGATTTTAAAGGATTATTTTAGAATCCGTCCAAATCCTTTGGTATTCAATCAGGATTTTAAACAATGGAATCACAATGTCGTGGTATTCAAAAATCCGACGATTTTAATGAATTTTATTGGTGTGGATTTCGTGAGACTTTTTAGTGAAAAATATTAATAATATGCCTCTCTCACAATCTCATCTCTACCCCTAAGATTTCTTGAGATTCTTCTATTGTAGTGTTTTCTTCTTCCTTTGGTAGGTTGACTACTCGAAATTGGGTTCTGCCAAGGGAGCTTCGTCAAAACTAAAAAAGAGAGCATATTTTTGAGCGATTTTCATCACAAAATAACTCAGAAACAACAAATCAACGAGATTTTAATATAATATATTTTAAAAATAACATATTTTTGAGCCATTTTTTAAAATTTTTGGAAGTTTAAAAAGTGATTTTTCAAGCCATGGGTCGCGGTTTTCTTGGCACAAAAATGTGCTTTTTGTATTAAAAATAACATGAAACAGTGAAAAAATAACAGGGGAACTTTCGTATTATTTTCGTTTTACATCAATGAAAAAATATCAATTTAAAGAAAGATTGAAACTTTCATAATATGAACCCTATATTTCGTAACAATACATTCATGAACGAAATTCCTTCACTATAGGAAACAATTTCAAACAATTTTTGTATCAATAGATAACTAAAAGCTTGTTTCTCAAAAGCCTCAAAGCAATTTAAGGTTTCAATGTATCAATTAAAAATTTTATCAGAAATTTTCTAAACTTTTATATAATTAAACCCAAAATTCAGATTCAAAATTCTCTTAATATTCAATGAAAATATGCATATGATATAGGGTTAGAAAATTCTAAAAACCCCAAGGTTTTCAAAATCAATTGCAAAAAATTTCAAACGAAATTTTATCATGTACTTTAGGTTCTATATGCAAATTTAGAATTATTTTTATTATTAAAAAAATTTGGGTCTTTTAATCATATATGCATAGCTTTGATACCAAATGAAGAAGATGATTTTTAACCCATTAGATATGTGAAAAGCTGTTGTTTAGTAATTTTAAATGTTTGTTAAAAATTATATTCATGTTTGGGGCAGGATATACTTACCACCAAAAATTTTTACCACCTTTACAGCCAACCTAATCACCATTGATTTCCTTAACGGTTATAATTTATTGGGAATTAATAAATATGACCTAATAATTTTCAATGAATTATAACCGTTAGATTGACGAAAATCAATGGTGATTAAGTTAGTTGTAAATGTTGTAAACTTTTTTTGTGGTAAGTATATCCTTCCCCCATTATGTTTTACTGATTGAGAAAATTATATTTGATTTTACTTTTTTTATTAATTCCATTGTATTTCTTTGTTATTTTTTTTATGGGGAAGATTATACTTACATTCTTGGGGAGGGGGCTGAACCTTTAGCCATCACTATTCCCCCGCACTCCGGATTAGTCCCATAGCCGGCTCAAAGAGTCGAAGTTCGTGGGGATACCGGAGAGAGCCAACTCGTCTCAAAGAGATAATTAGGGTTGGGTAACTCCAAAAAAAAAAGATTATACTTACATCCTATTTTTGTCTACAATCTTTTATAACCATATCTTAACCGTTGATTATCGTCAATCAATGATTATTATTTACGCAAATCAAACTTATTAATTAATATTTAATTTGCAATGAATGATAACCGTTGATTAACAGAAATCAATGGTTATGATATGGTTGTAAATTGTTGTAAATAAAAATAGGTTGTAAGTATAACCTTTCTCTTTTGTATTGATTCTTGTAATTTTGAATGTTTGTTAAAAATTCATATGATTTTTTAAAATCTTATAAATTCATATTGTCCTTTCAAATCTTATGAATTCTATTAAAATCCTTTAAAGTTCAATCCTATAAAATCTTGACTGTAAAAAAAGTTTTTTTAAAAAGTCTATAAAGTCTCTCCAATTCTAAAATATCATTTAAAATCTGTAGGATTTTTTATCTCAAAAAAATCTTTTAAAATCCTAATCCAATACACCCCCAAGGCTTTGTTTGGGAGTTAGTTTTAGGAGGGGAATGAAAGGAAAGAGAGGATTTTAGTAAGCCCTTCGCTGGTGAGTTAAAAAAATTAGGAGAAAAAATTGGAGATTTTTACTAAACCCTCATTCTTCTTAAAATTAAAGTTCCCCGAATTAGGAGAATTTAAGGGGGAAAATATTAAAAATTACTTATCTACCCTTAGCATTAAAATGTTAAAACTACATAAATGTGAATCATTTTTAAACGCGACATTATTAGAAAAGTTTCAAATACCGACAGAATTTATCAACGAAAAAAGATTTCGTCCAAAATAGTGATAATTTTTTTGATGAAAATCATATAAGTTAAAAAATTTCCATCAAAACTAAAGACGAAACTAGAGACGAAACAATAGTTTGCCTTAATCACTGACATAAATTTTTTACAGAAAAAAATTCAGTCAAAATTATTGATAGAACCTAAATTCTGTCGAAATTTTCAGCGAAAATATTTCCGTCCAAAATTTTGACGAAAGACATTTCCATAGAAAAGTTTCGACGTAAAACAATTACGTCAAAAATTTTTACGAAAAATATTTCCATCAAAATTTGTGATTAAAAACATTTTAGTAAAAAATTTTGACGCATAATTTTTTTTGTCAAATTTTTTTACGAAATCTAAATTTCGTCAAAACATTTCACAAAAAACATATTCATCGAAATTTTTGACAAAAAATATTTCCATCAAAATTTTCAACGAAACACATTTCCATCGAAAATTTTTGACAGAAAAAAATTCCATCAAAATTCTTTACATGATTCAAATTTCGTCGAAAGTTTTCGATGAAAACATTTTCATTAAACTTTTCGACAAAAAAAAAAAATTTCCGTCGAAAATTTTAACGTAACACATTTCTATCGAAATTTTTTGACGAAAAGTATTTCCGTCAAGTTTTTTGATAAAAAAACATTGGGAAAAATGTTTGTCCTTTTTAATGATACAACTCATATCATTTCACTCTCACAAAGATGTGAGACCCACATCTTTATTTTTTTTTTGTCCACCCTCTCACCTTCTTTATTTATCTCTTACTTAAAATGACACAACTTACATCTTTTAAAATGATACACACTTTTCCCAAAAATATTTCCATCAAAATTTTCAACAGAACACATTTCTGTCAAAATTTCGATAACAAATTTTGACGAAAAAATATTCTGTCAAAATTCTTTAAAGAATCTAAATTTCGTCGAAAGTTTCGAATGAAACATTTCCCTCAAATTTTTTTGACAAAACAAATTCTGTCGAAATTTTGAACAGAAAACATTCCTTCAAAATTTGTGATGGAATTCTTTTTTCGTTTAAAAAATTTGATGAAGGAAATCATTTTCTTCAAAACTTTTGACGGAAACTAAATTTTGATAGAAAATTTATTTTTGTAAAAAGTTTCATCAGGGAAAAAATTTTGTCGCTTTTCGTCGAAAAGTATTTCGACGAAAAAATAATTGTGACAAAATTTTCGTCGCTTGCAATGTAGAATTTTCATCGAAAATATGATATTCTTTAGTATTATGAAAAGTACATAAATAAATTTTTTAGAAATTTTAAATTTTATTTAATTTGTAAAATGTAATAATTACATTAATTTTTAAAATGTGATAAAATGGTAAAAATATCTCATTATTCCTCCATTTTTTCCCTTACCATTTTATTAACTCCCAAACAAGGGAAGAAAATACCCTCCAATTTCCTTCCCTTCCTTCCCCTCCCTCCCCCTTGGATCCCCTTCTTTCCCT